AATCAGATCTCGGCTTGATCCCGGCCTGGCAAGCCAATCGGCCAATCTTGCGTTGGATGGGCTTCTCGGCCGCAGCAGCACCTGACTGCGAGAGATAAAGCGGGATCCGTGTGGAATTCCGCCTAACACTTCTCCCTTGAAGTTTGTTGACGTAGCTTCGAAGCAGAGGGTTAATTTTCAGTGGCCTCAGTGGCTTGCGGATCCTCTGTTTCCAGAGTCGCGGCTTATGTGTATTGATAGCATGCACACACGATTTACTGAATGTCACACCAGAACCTCCCTAGTTCTAGGCCCAAGTTAGAAGGTCTTCTCCAGCGGGTTCATATAAGCTAACCCAGAAAGCGAACAAAGTACCCTCAGAAACAGACCCTACCTAAGATATTATCTAAGTACAAGCTAATCAACCGTGCTGATCACGATTGCGTTCAGCCACTGTCTAGAGGGTGGTCTGTTTGAAGCTTCATAGGGTTTCTTAAGATATGCACTGTCATGATCCCCAGTAAGGGTAAAGCAATTAAACCGAGCTTCTCAACTTTCAGCGTAGACTGTCTTCACTTACAGGATGGAACATCCATTAAAACAGATCCCTTTGTGCTGATCCCCAACCACTCCGCAGACAACTGAACCACAGCCTAGCTGATGCCTGTACCCAGTTATTCCGAACTTTGTCAAAGGCATATAAATCTTCCAAACCATTTGCACCATCTTTTACAAGTTTTTCAATCACCGAAAAAGCTGAAACACAGACCTGAACATTCAGCTGCATACAGACATCATTAAGGAGAGGTTCAGCTGGGTTCCAGGTGAGTCTCCCGTCGAAGCCAAACTGAGTGTCATCCACTAATTTCGTGCAGTTTGGATCCAAGTAGAACATGAGGTTGACGAAAACTCACTGACTGCGCCTACCTGGTGAGCCCCAAGAGGGCAACACCTGTCGTGGGTTGTAGAAGAGTTTTCAGTGACTTATGAGTAACGTATTGCGTCTGTTATTTTAGCAGCCTCAGGTGAGCCACAACGGAATAGACCAGATGAGTCAGTTCTGAAACCATGATTCTTCCAATTGACTGGCTGGTGACATCAGTGGTGCAGCCGTTAGTAAAAATTCGGACTTCCGAAGAGTTATTGGTGTTGTCAGCTGTCATTGAGATTAGGTGCTTGCAGAGATCCACCAGGGAGTGCTCTGAAAACACTGGATTCACGGACAGTACGGCCACCAAATGTTCTCATACTCTTTAAGTAACCGATGGACTAGTCGTAAGTTAACATGGGGTTGTGGTAAATTTGCACTCGAGAACTTTTCATCGGGCCGGCAATGCAACGATATAGAATACAAAAAATATACGAGCATTAACAGGGAGCGTGTTGCACCTCTTACAAAATCAAACATCCTACTAACCCATCACGTCCTGTACACGCCTCGCAGAAGGTTGATATCGTAACAGGACAATAGGTCAGTAAACACGGTACGCATTCATAAAACTTTCCGTTGGTTGATGTGTTTGTCTGACGGAATAGTATAAACCTGTATGACGACGAATAAGCTTAAATGCTTAGAAAATAGAAAAATTTGTGATTTGGTGATCCCATCGGGAGGCAAAATCATGAATTAGTGGGAGAGTTCGAGTCTGTTTTGAGGCATTGCATAACGGATCATGGATCAGAGTAACCATCTTTGAAGACATATCATGCGACGTCAGGTTTCTGAGGCGTTCTCTTCCAAAAGATGCCGTCAGTTGAGGTGTTGATACACTCAAGAATTTTAACATCCAGCTCTCTGGTACTAGTTTTTCGACAAAGTGTGTTCACATCTCGGAAAAATTAGTCACCAGCTCTCTGTCGTCCTCATTACGACACAGCAGGCATACTAAAAGCAGTAAGGTAAGTGAGCTGTTGGTTGAGGATTTCAGATTACTGTCTTGTAAATCACGCCTTTTTCGCCCATGCGGTGCAGCTGATTTATTTCAGTTATCCGTGAAACTTGACCAGAACCGGTTGTTGGTCCAATAAGTTGCTACATTGAAGGCGTCAAAAAAGTTTTTCTGTTGAACAAAAAGATGTTGGATCAGTCGGGGAGGTTTTGGTCGATAATTTGTTGAGACAAATCTTGTAGAGTAATAACGATAATCTAATTATCGTTCAGATATTATACCCTTCCTGAGTTTGCCCACATGCTGCCTGAAGGTAGTACGAGGGCCGAGGTAATGCTAATTGCCCAAACCTAGACAGGAGCCGCCAATATACCGGGGTTGGGCTCGAACTGTGGACATTTCGGTGAATAAATCAGTGCGTTAAATACTGCTTCATCTCGAGCCGAAGCTAAGGAGCACTGCAGAGCTGCTTCATCCTTGTTGGAAACCATTATTAGTGTGCTTCTCACTAAGCTTAAAGACCTTTCGGAACAATGTAGAATGGATGTGCGAATCAACAGTGATCAGCACGGTAACTTGCCAGTCTCGGAATAATAACTGATGGGTTTTAATAGCATTTTTATCATCATTTGACTGAGTGAAACCAAATTATGGAGCCACCCAACGCCTTCTTCAGGTAATTTTACTCCAATAGCTCCATAAACGACCCCGCCAGCTGAATGAGGTTCCTCTTATAATATTCTCCAACTCAGCTCTGAACTAACCGGCCCTTGCATAATCATCACTAGCCCCCAAATAAGTCTGGGTCTAAGCCGGAATTTCGGTCAGTCCACTACAGTTACGTGGTGCAAATGAGGCAAACCACTGCAACGTGTTGTCGCACTGTCCCATGGCAAAGCCGAACGCCAGTCAAGACCACAATGCGCACATCCATACATTTGGTAATTGTGAGTGCCAATCGCTTCCCTGAGTGCACGGAGGAAGACATAGTTAGATAAGATATTGCGTGGAGGACACTTCTCGGAGCTGAATTCCAACTCGTTACTTGAAGGATGACTGCTGAGTTCATCTAACGGCGTCAACTTGGGATTTGGCTGATCACTCTTGTCCGAAACATCTTCCATAGAATCCGGATAATCATCAGCGACCTGAAAGTTCTTATCTAGCCTTCCTGTAGTAGACGTTCCCAATTCAGCAATATCCGCTACCGTCATGCCCAATGACATCTTGAATTTTATCAATCTTTTATGGTGGTATCAACAGTCAGACGGACTGCATGGTAGCCAAACGACAGGCCATCAGAGACAATTATCAGTACTGGATTCAAACCTATGGATTGCGACTTAAATGACAGAAACGGTCGGAAACCAACCCTCATCTCAATAGTTCCCTCGTAATATCATAACTAATTGTTAAGATTCGACTGAACCACCGCCCAGTAATTCCAGCTTAAAAGTTATGTTTGGATAGAGAGAGGTACTGGATTCAAACCTATGGCTTGCGACTTAAATGACAGAAACGGTCAGAAACCAACCCTCATCTCAATAATTCCCTCGTATTATCATAACTAATTGTTAAGATTCGATTGAACCACCGCCCAGTAATTGCAGCTTAAAAGTTATGTTTGGATAGAGAGAAAAGGGGATGATGTGGCCCTAAATCCCTTATCGACACAACTATCCAAAATTGAAGGCGTTCCAAATTGATCTGATTATTTACTTCACACCACTGACATGGGTTAAACTGCCAACCACAGTGACTGATAGGGAGGAAACGTTTTCCTAACACGATATATAGTTATGGATCACCAGAACGGAGTGCCCGTAGATGTTTAAAAACGAGGAGAAACTAAAAGGCTATAGATAGGTATGTAATTCTCAATAAGTACTTCCAAAGAGTAGCGTGGCCTGAAAGGGGGGCGGAAAAGCACCAGTGCCACCAGGTATCCGCATACCCACCACAGGAGAAATGCGGAAGTGTATCACTGGTAGCCCTCTTGATAAGGCAGCGTGCAGGAGTGAACTTCTCATTTCACGTTCTACCCACAAGTTCAACATAGCTCTGTGACACATCTGCTCCAGGCGCTTGAAGTTAACGCGTTTTGGTGACAAATATTATGTAATATGGGCTGTTTTTGTGGAAATATGTAGCAATTTGATACCCATTGGCTTAGTATAATTAATCGCTGAGCAACATTCACTTTCAAAAGACGGCGAAAAGATTCGGGACATTTTATGTGTACAAACTACGTCGTCAAAATAACGCGGCACAAAAAAGATTATTCCGGGAGATTGAATGATATAAATGGAATTTCTGATTATTCACGCTCGTGCCTAGTATCTTAGGCAGCAGCCGGAGCAGAATGAGACCATGGATAAGACTGAATGCATCGTTTTGACAGATTAACTCTACTGGGAAACGTTTGTTAGTAACATGGGTAGCTGCTGTTTTCCTGGATAAAAGCATCGGCATAAACACATGTTAAGCTTGATCCGGTCCTGACCAATCAGAAATCTCCAAAGCAAATCTAAAGTTTGTTTCCTTCCTCGTTGCCAAAAGAACCCAACAAAACCGCTTCAAACGCCGATGTTGTCGTTGTGCTAACTGTCCATCATACGTAAGATTAATCACACAGCCAAGAACGTTTGCGCTCTTTGTCTCCAATGAAAACAGAAGGATTCTTTTTCTTGCCAATTCACTGTGTCAAATCATTTTTTAGCATTTGCGCTGGTAGCATCTTTTTTGTGTAAAAATGTTTTTTCCTTAGGCCAATTATCGGCTTTGTTCACTTTTTAGGAAAATTTAAGGCCCGAGAAATTCCAATTATCATTGAATGTAAATTTCGTTTTGGAGCGTCCTAAACATACCTCAGCTGTAGCTTCCTCATTCTCCTCCATCAGGGTACGCAAATGATTTTGTAGCGATTGAACACGACGTTCATACTCCTTGACAATAAGCTCCTGACATTCATTTTGTACTTTTTCTGCAACTCCATCCTGAATAGACTCAGTCAAATTGGACGGCGAATCAGTGGGCAAAGTGGCATCGACCAATTTCACATCATGTCCCGAAGACTCAGAACCTCGCTTCTGCTTATCCGTTTCCTTCTTTTTTGGAGGCTGAAACAATGGATTACCAGCTGGTTAGTTACTCGAGCTACATTGTGACAAATGTTTGACTCCTTGTTTTGAGCCGCATGGAATAGTTACTGACACTTAGAGAGAAATGACTTATTTTCAAAATTGTTTATGGATTCTCGGGCTGAAATTTTGAACTGAAGTGCTGAAGTGCTGCACATTAAAACCTCCTGTACCGGGTTTTTTTGATTCACAGGATCCTAGAAGCAGTAGTGAAACTTTCCATCAGCCTCATAGGTGATGTAACATCGAGAGAAAATGCGGAACTTGGTTCGCTTGTTTCAGCCTCCTAGTCCACTTCTTTTATATTTCAGACACATTTTAGGGGCTTTGGGACTTTCCGAAATTACACGTTCGAGCACACTGTCAGCGTGGACTACTGTTGGTCACTTGCTAATGAGGCGTTACACAAACTGTCAATAAAGAAAATGATACGCTCACTTTTTGAACTTGATAGAGCTTCCTTGAAGCATTTGATTGAGACAGTTCAACGTATCACTGCTGTTTATTTTCTATACATAGGTTAAATACGGTGATTCTCCTTGAAATATAGTCCAAGTAGACGAAAGTTCTTGTAGTAGAAAGCATTTGACCGGAAACCAACTCATAAAACAAATCATTCTATGGGTCACTTTGGTCATCCGGAGTGTCCAAACATGGCCAATATCATCTGAGTGAGGTGCAAGTGAAGTTGTCAGACTGGTATTCAAACAACTCTGGAACAAGCTTTGAGCTTAATTCAGCGACGAAATTTAATTGAAGGGCACAGGTATACCCGATATTGTTCCACCTAGCGGAGATACCTTGTTATCCGCCGGGATGGGCTTCACTTTTCCGGACAACGCCCCATCCTGTTCGAATTCAGATGCGGCCATCGATTTGATAAAAGTAGCCTCGAAGTTCAGATACTGGCCAGAGGGTTAGGGTAAACTTCCGACAATCCACTACCGATTTCGCTCTTCTTGGCGCTCATTGGGTAGGCCCACACCGTGAATCTCCACTAACTTTGCTTCTACTAGAAGACTAAATTGTACGCAAATTGCAAATCAGACCGGTGCTTGTAGGTGGCTTCGCTGAATTTCACCCGAATCTCTTATTTTTGATAATCCTTAGCCGAGTTCTTTGTCCAGTACTTCGATTTCTTGGATGTCAATCCATCTCAGACACAATGCGACCTTTTTGCAGTAAATTTATTTGGAAAATATCACAAACCAGAAATTCACATGAAATTCAGCCATTTCTCGCCAACAATACCTCGATAGGCAAGTGAATAGTCATCGCCATTTCCCAGTTTTCTTGTTCTGGACAGTTCGTTCACTTATATGAGCTGCGCTGTTCCAACGACTAGAGAAAGCAGGGCAGATAAGGAGCAATATATCAATGCATCCGTTGTGTGCCAGGTGTACGATGTGACGATATCAGCCACGAAATGGCAGTTAGATTCGCACACTTTACACATTCGTAAAAATCCACTCGATCAGTTTGTAGATGACGATCGTGGGTCTGGAAACACCCGCAACAAAAATGGCGTGGACGCATGCGACCGGAATTTTGTCACTCCATTAGCATTGACGAATGAATCCTAGTCTTGGCAAATCAGGTTCGCATTAAAGGTTTTTCAGACACACTTGGACATATTGGGGAGCGTTTCGGACTTCTACACGATCAATTGGATGGAATTCTCGACCATATAGATATGTCATGAGAAAACGATTCCAGCTCATCAGACGTGCCGATAAAAGAAACAAGAAGTTCTCTAGGCTGTCCTGCGTTGCACTATCATACAAATACATCGGCTTGGCACACAAATGCTAGTTAGATGGGGAAGAATCAGCATTAAAGGTAAAGTCGACGGACCTCATTGGAACTCTACCATTGTTGTTGCAACCTTGCAAACTCAGTAAATTTCGGTAAAAGACATTTACATTTACTTTCCTAAATGACTATTTGATGGGGCAAACAATACCGACTTGGTTTCCGTTGTCAGTGAACTGAGGGTGATTGCGCAAGTGAGACCCATTCACCAGGGTGTCGTGAGGATAGGTGACCATTCTCTGCTTATTTCCGAGGCAGCTCAAGATAGCTACCGTTAAGGCCTGAATTTACTGACCAGAAGGTCCACGGTTCGAACCCGATTCCGGCAACTCGACTGCTTCTGCCTAGACTTGCGCAAACCGGATCTACCTCAGCACTCGTGCTGCCTTCGAGTGGCATGGCAGCTATGTATAATGAGGATGTTAAGGGACGGACGATTATTGTCAGTGCTATCACTGTTATTCCCACTAAGAACAATTACGGCTGATCCGAGTGGCCAAGCCCTCTCAAAAGTGAGCTGGATAAAAGTTATACAGAATTTCTTGTGGTAAGGTTCTGTTTAGAGCCCCGAATCATAGTTTGAACCTGTGCGGCACATAACTGCTACCTGGAAGAAAACCTAAGACCCTCATCTCTACATCATTAAATAACGTACACTATCACAGACCATACACAAAAACCTATACCATCTCTCGAAAGTGATCACTACAGGAACCCCTTGGTAAGTATCCATGGTCGACTCCCTCATATCAGCTAAGCATCAGAATCATGAAGTTTGAGCACACTGAGAGTTGTGCAACCCGATAGAAATACAGACCCAGCCTACTTCAATGAGCTAGATAAGGCTAATCTCACCGTACTCAAACAAGGCAGGAAGGTAACAAACACGTGTCTACTCATCTGATATATGCCACCTGATATCTGTGTACGTGTGAAAGAATGCATAGACAAGCAGGTTCCAGTGTGCGTCAGTAAGCCAGTGCAATCAAGTGCTTTGGTACCACCACTCAAGCACAACAAACCCTTCATGTGGAAATAAGAAAAACTGTTGAACTCAGCGAAGTAAGTTGACATTAAATTGTTCACAATCCAATCACACACTGGTCATGAAGCAAAAGCGACTCTGTTTCACTCTTTTGATTGTCGTCTTGGTTAAGCTTAGCCTTGACAATGGGTGAGCCTTGTTCGTCACGTGGTAAGGAGCAACAGTGAAACGTTCTTTGCTTCGGTGTTGCTACTTTTAGACTGAAGGCAGAATTTTGCCTCCAGGTGAACCAACCCTCCAGACAACACCAATTTAACCCTTCTGCATGAGTTGTCTAGAAGGGGGCCGAACTACTTAAGGATTCTGCGCAAAAGTTTAATAGAACACAAAATACGGCACTATCACACAACTTGACCAAGTCGCTCTGAAAATGGACAAAGTGCGAATATCCTCAGGTAGCAGTAGGCAAATTCTGAGGATTAGAGTGACCGCTAGTCAAAAGAAGCATCTGATAAGGTCCAGAGTCGTTCCCTCCCACAGAGATTTCTCCCTTGATGAACAAATGAGTACCGGGACACTCATCTATGTATCAATTACCCATTCATACAGGAGCTTTACTAATCTCGTTTTAATGGCTTCGTTATCGCACGATTTCCCTTATGAGTTACGCAGCTCTTCTCACTTTTGTGTGAATTTGGTCCGTCTCAGTTTTACTGCTGTAAAAATTGTGCGAAACGACAAGCATTTGCAACTAACATACTCTCGTTAGATTCATGAAAGCTCAGTTGAATGTTTCACAGAACTTTGTCAACTGAATTGGTCCTGCCAAAGACTGTTTACCTAGGTTAACCTTTGGTTCGTCGGTAGTGAATAGAGGTCACTAAGATGGACATAATATTACCGAAGACCTACCTGTTGGTCTCAGATACGTAAATATATCTGTCAGAACAGAAGATTAAAGATAGGCGGCTGCAGACCCTAGCCGATAACGCCGAATCACGAACCAAGTGACATTCAAATTCGCCAAGTCAGGCTTAATTATAAACACTACCCTTTCGATCTTTTTCCAATTATTGTCTTAAGTTGCCAGCGGCGATTAGGACCACAGTGATCATCCAAAAAAACTTCTGAGTAAAGAAATCCCTATGAAGATACTACCCATATTCCAGTATATAAAAATTGCTCAGTTGCAGCACCCTTTTGGTACCTAGCTGCCATGTCAGCGGAAGGAGGCTCGAGAGCTGGGATACTGCCAGTTTTCCCAAGCGTGGGCAGAACCAGTCGGGATGCTGAGGTTGGGTTCGAATCATGGACCTTCCGGTCCGTAAGCTGTCGCCTTAACTACTGAGCTATCTCGAGCTTAATTCCGGTACCTGCCTTTAAGTTAGTAGCCCAAATGCGTGTAGCTGATTTTCAAGCTTTTCCACGAATCCAATGAGCCAAATAATTCCAGGACTACCTGATTTTCCGAGAAAACTCCGAGAATTTGTCAGCAGAAACTAATTCCTGCACATAAACCGTTTGTACACTTAGCCACATGATGAGGAAATAGTCAAAGTTGACTCAAACTACGCCAAACGTATAAGTCGTATACATTTCGCACATGACATTCGCAAGGGATTTCCTCCGTCCTTCTAGCGAACAACCTTAGGTTTATTGTTAAAAATGACTTTCCTTCAAACTACCTGTACTTCGACTGGTGTTCTTGGCACCTCAACGCAATAAACTTGATAAGCCGGTAAAGAAACTATGCTTCAGCATTAGGGGGTATGAGTGAATTCATCGTCTCAGTTGAATATGCATTCACCGAGACTCCTTGGCCAAAAATATTGATGTAGTAGACTGAAGCTCAATCGAAAATAACCGGTTCCGTTGAAATAAAATTCAAGGACCACAAGGTCATCAGCAAGTTGTTACGATCCATCTGCGTCAGACTGTAGTCTTCTTCAAAATACAGGCTACGTTCAAACAACATGAAGTTTCGCCCACTTGGATGTTGATACCGCATTCTATCTGTTGTTATGAGCGAGGAATGGAAAATGGTTGGAAGTTTACAACTTTTGTTACGGACTGCATTGATGATAGCTCACGTTGTTAAGATGACTGTTGGTTTTGCTCACCCAGCTGGATAGTTTGAACCGAAACCGTTGGCGGTTGGTAGATGCATGTAATCGCAGACGTACTGACAGTCCGCACTGACCACCGTTCATTGGTTGTTTAGGCCGCTGATTCTATTGGTTAGTTTGTTTGCTAATTTATGGTTGGTAATATAACGAAATATTGGTAGCTCGAGTCTGGCTGTTAATCTACAGCGAGAGTGGCGGTGTTTGACCAAATCATCCAGACTGTGTTTGTCCCACTCGCTATTCGTATTTCTTGGCGATTATTCCAAACATGAATTTCTGCATTCCGTGTCAAACGAGACAACGTCAACTTTGGTAAACGAAACTAACACACCAAATGTTCCTCAAAAAGGAGATGGCGAAAGGTTGATATTATTTGCTAAATTTGTGTCATATTGTGACAACTGTGAAATGCAGACCCAGTCCTGCAGAAAATCACATTTGGAAACGCCAATTTTGAGTGAATATTTTAACTTCACTATCTGCATTCTTTCCTAAAACATCACATACTCATTTAGGGAAACGACACAGTTAGGACAGAAAACAAAAAGCCATCCAAGCATTTTAGTATCACTGTCACTGGGGTGACAGTTTGAATAAAGAGCAGCCTAACATCCGAAAGAATGTAGAAAATACCGCATTGACGATATTCTGAGGTGGCAAGGAACTTTTAGCTGCACTGATTCACTTAGCAACGTTGATAGACGAACCAATGGTAAAAGCCGTGGATTGGAAAACGGACAAAAGACACACATCAAGCTCGATTAAATGAGACCACCACTATCCGGATTTTTGTTGAAGCCGATCTACTAGCCGAATGCCCACTATGCTCCTTACCATTGAGATGCATTCTAGTTATATCTTAGAGATCATTAACTTTCCGAAGTTCAGTAAGACGTAAGATCCTTTTTGGGTAAAGTGTGGTCGTACCACTAGAACAGTTTACATCAAAGTATGGGGCTACTGAGGTACGAAAACGACAGTGAAACGGGTGGATTTTGGAGGACGAAACGAAAACAGAAAATGATACTTCACCCCCTTCACACTGCACCTAGGTTGCCCAGTTCACAAGTACTTTTGTTTTGGCATAGATCACATCCTCCGAAGGGTTGTAAAGGTTAACGAGGGTCGTGGAGTTGAGCACCCCTCAGATTACCGGGTTCTACACTTCGGATTCGCACTCAAGGCTTACCACAACGAGCTCTCCCGATTTTGGCTGAAGAGGTACGGTTTACTTTGTCTTTTACGAGAAACAATGGTAAAAGTGGCTTCCAAGATCAGAGGAGTCTGCGCCCACGTTCCACCTAGATAGTCAGAGACTGGGGATCCTCAATAACTTTGTGTACCTAGTGAATTCCGTCATTGGCGACACAGGTGAGAGGATATCGAAACAAACAGTCCAAGCTAGAACGACGCTCATCAACCTAAAGAGAATTCGGACGAAGACGCCAATCTACCTTCCACCACCGCCCCGAAATCTTTAAATTCCTATGAAGACCCCAATATGAAACAGGCATACCATGTAACTATCGTCTACCTGCGACCATTTGGATTAAGCAACGACTAATCAAGACTGAGAACGAGTTTGCGAATGTACACAGCATCTCGCCTAAAACAGACTGGGTAAGTCAGCTGCAGAAAAGGGAAGGGACGTTGAGCAGAAAGAGAGAGAACTCAGCATCAGTGGAATGCACGTACGCAGTGACGGTGGGCTCCGAATGCTAGACCGTTGCCTCTGGGCCGTCAGCAACAACACATCAATAGAAAGAAAGAGAACTCAGCATCAGTGGAATGGACGTACGCAATGACGGTGGGCTCCGAATGCTAGACCGTCGCCTCTGGGCCGTCAGCAACAACACATCAATAAGTGGTGGAGATATTGAATTAATTGGACAAAGTCTGTTGATGAACTAGTGTTGTGCTTCAGAATAGTCTACAGGCCAGTTGGTTATCGAATGCGAAGGTAGATGAGACCAGCCAACACATCCATTTCTTGTGTGGAAAACTAATCAGGTTATGTTACAGAAACGCAACTGCGGAAATCTACGCAGCGAGAACAGAACGTAACTGTTTTCACACTTGTTTAATTTTTGTTCATTTTTAACCGGGAATTCAAAAATATCGAATGGAAGTTGTCGAAATAACACAGCCATCAATCATCATGGGACGGGAAACTCGAAAACGCATATAATTCGGTTCGGAGAGCTTTGCGATCTACGCAGCGGTTAAACGAAGGAAATAGATAGGTTTGTACAAATTTGAAAACACCATCGGGTTGGAATGACATCGACGATGTCACGGATCGAAGTCCCAATCGTTATCCCAGTCGTTTCCTGCAGTCTGAAGGAAAAAGTTACATCAAGTTAACGGGGATGGGGGAACAGAGTTATGCAGAAGCAAGGATGGAGAAGACTTGACCAACTATCCAATAAGGGTTTAACGATACAAAGACACGTCGACCATAATTAAAACGAAAGAGCGAACTAAATTCCAGTAGCAAACAAAATATGACCATAACACTTCAGAGACTACATCCAGACAAACTAGAAGACAGGTGGTCAGATTCAACATGACGGACGGATGAATAAAAAACCGAAGAGTAACATTGAAATCCGCATTACAGCTCGAATTTGATGCACCTGAAAACTGCCGTTTGTGGACGAACGGTTGAGTACCGGGATATCATGGGCCCGAAACACTCTAGTTTCGTGAGATGCACCCTGTTGATTATTACCAATGAATATGAAACGGCTATACAGCGCTTCTCGGTTTTTCAGCATATATTGGCTTCCTTTACAAGACGAAATCTCCACCGATATTCCAAAATGTCCCCACACGTCCAATATTCATTTATGTAGATGGCTACGCCTAACTGTCCTTACGGGTATCGGTCGTATGGGATCACAGAGGATAGGCACAGCCTAAATGACGACAAAGGATCGATCGACACTAAAAGGAGGTTCGCCGACACAAACACTGCAGTGAAAATAGCACAAAAAACGGATGAGAACGCTTAACACACACGCACACACACAAACCGGTAAGTTTATTCAGTTCACCACCTACTCCGTAATTTGTGTACTTTAGGCCGCCAGCATTTGTGTTAAGTTGGCAACAAACTCCAATTTATTGACACCCGAATCGATGAATCTACAGGACTTCGGGTAGCATGAAAACGGTACAATCAGTTCAGTTTGGTTTTTAGAGTGCGTCCGTTGAATAGCGATGTCAGATAAACTATGTGCGCTTCGATTGATGACTTATCAGAAATCCGAGATTCAAATGAATCTCGACGGAGAACAGGCAACAACACCCATTCAACAGCCAACTTAAGTGACACGCTGAATGTTACACAGAGAGTAGCACATAATATTTGTCGGAAAAAAACGACCTTATCCTCAGCAGTATGTCTTGAATCCGAGTGGACTCACGACGGTCCGTTGTGGGGCCTTTCGCACATAATCTAAGAAACGTACACGTAGTTCGCAAACAGATAGTGATAGGTCTCATCAATGTCAAAACCAACCCATCAATAGACGCCCTTCCAACAGGCGGTGTACAATAATTACCACGAAAGTGTCCAGAATTTCGTCACTCAGTCTTGAGTCCTGTGTACAAAACATGACCCCTAATAGGAGAGGATTCATTCCTAGGGTCTTCGACAAAATTGGAAAGTTCGCTGACCATAGCTGCGTTTCCGAGCGCTCCAATAGACCGAAACGTTTACTTTCGGCCAAGACATCAATACCTAAAGAATGGCGTTGAAATTTAGAAAAGGACCACGTTCTCTATATCAGGCTGAAGGTAGCGCCTTTACCGGTACTGACAAGGTCTACCTGGAACAACTAGCATCCACATGAAAATGTTTAACGAGACCCGTGACCGCTGACGATTATTAAAACTGTGAATGTTGATCACCGATCCTTGAATGAATCATCCCGTATCGGGAGAAAAGTGCTACAAAGTAGGTGATTTGCATGTTAGGTGTGGAGAATCACGGCCTATCTGCGGATTCGTAGAATGCACAGTGACGAGGATTCCCCATAATAATAAAACACCTGTGCAGCAACTGTTGCTTTTCCAACCTAGACTCTATCGGTGAAAGCTGCATGGACAACTTACGGAGTATTGTCATGGCTCAACGGATTGGCACCCAGCCACAAGTAGAACATAGGGAAACGTAAAAGTCGTGGAACAAGAAACGCTGACGAAGTATCGCATCATACTAACGGCCTATTCCATTCTATACTTGTTTGGTTTGGCCAGTGAGTCAGTCTAGAACATCAGTGCTCGTTCAGCCATAATAGGGCTGCAATAGTTTGGACGTAAAGATGCTGTAACATGGGACGGGAAGACCGATGGTTAACAAGTCAGTCTCTACCAGTTGCTATCATTTCCACCGTTAAAACGGGAGAAACATCCATGATAAGTTCTCTCTTTTTCTGGTTCCCATACAAATCGAGCCAGGCTACCCGGTTGACAGCCTGTGGAGCCAGGCTGCCCGGTAAACAGCCTCGTACAGCTTAACCATGTTGCACCAGTGTGTCCCAGTTACAGGCTCGCTTAACTATTGAATATCTGGTACAATGTGTCCAGACGAAATGAAACATTGCATCACATTGCTGCAAGACAGTCCAAAACCTCTGGCACTCAACTAGCCAGTGAAGAAAGCGTGCGATGTGGTCATCCGACCAACGAGGAAACAGCCGCATCGAACACGCGTTTAATATCCCCGAAGACGTTTTGTCAGCGAAATGTATAGCTAACGCTAAGCTAATGAGGACAAACCTACAGAGTGTAGGTTTATTTTGTTTGTTTGCGGAAAAGAGATCCAACAATTAATGACCCAACCGAGACATATGAGTGTAGGTTTATTTTGTTGTTTGCGTAAAAGAGACCCAACAATTAATGACCCAACCGAGACATATTGGTATTCGCAGGACACAGATTCATGTGGTGAAAATCAGCCTTTACTGATTCACCCCAACTGTAGATGAACATTCACGAAAATAGGGACTGTACAAACTGCACTCGGAAGTGCCTGTATGATCAGCCAAGGAGTAAGTTGGCTCACACACGATACTTAATGGTCGATGGAATTCAAAAGCATACATGCACATACCTCATCGTCTTCTTGACCGTTACGAGTATCAGCGACACTCAATGACGATATCGCGTTGGACAAGGCTTGTGAAACACTGGTAACAGATTTTTGGCTTGGTTGGGCCGTCTCTGCAGGTTGTTCGCCAGGGTGAATACTGGCCATCACCGGTTCAGTCAAAGGGCTTTTTGGAATAGGACCATTTTCTATAAGATGGCCATCGAGATATGGCTGCTGAGGTGAAGCGACGCAATGAAAAAATAATCACCCAACTGTCGATCAATGCGCTTCGGAGGGGAATAATACAAAGCAAACTCATAAAAGACTGAGGGGACAGTACCGTGAGACGAAGTAATTTAACGATCCAGTTGAAGTACAACAGACTCACACTGACTGTGAAGGGGGCAGTAGAGGTTTCCTCGCTCGTGTTCAGTACGTCAATGTTCACATTGACCACGGTCTGATCCGAGTAATGAAGGTCGTTCCGTTCCGTACTGTGTGGTTCATGAACAGTGGGAGCTCCCGACAGTTTGATGGCGTTACCTGTTATAAAGTTGCAGGACGGTAAGCAAAGGCTGATCTAGATAAGACGAAATAAACCAACGGTTTGGGGTAGTAAACGGAATGGTTGTTGTCAATAGAACGGCCTACAATATACATCGCTACAAGTCGGCCCCATCGCTTTCCCAACCCATAATGAGAAACGAAAGAAACAGCTGCTGACTAAAGTGGTCCATCGACTGAGCCCAACCCTGACTTTGACATTGTTGGCGTTTGTCTGTGTGCTCCCAGCAATATTAACAGATTGCATAGAAGATTCAGGTAAAACCGCCTAGGCTGAAAGATGCCGATAGACAGATGAAGCTCAATAACAGCTGAATAGAGGGAAGACCGAAAGTGGAGACCAAGATTTGCATGATCAGTACTCGTATTCTACTTTACATGATACCGAAGGTTGAAAATCCTAGGGTTCAGATGAATTCGCTTGAGAAAGCGAACGACACACTGGTCTTTGGTGCCCGCAATATCCCATCACAGCAACTCAACGGTCAGACCGGAAGACGTCAGTCTCCTCGACGACCAAGCAAGAACTAAGGGATGCATCATGTATATGACCCGAAAGCAGCTTAAAGACCAAGGCCCTCATATGCCGATCTTTCAGTCACCCGAATCTTCTCTGCAGTAGCACGAAATGACTGTTAATAACCGGGGATCACCGGAAACCATCGAATTTCGACCTATATTGCCTACGGAGGACTATCGCTGTTTCTTGGAGCGGTTAGCTTTCTAGTGAAGCAAACGAATCTGCGATATAAAAACGACAGGAGTTATGGACTCCACGTACGGAACTGAAGAAGCAAGAGCCGTGCTTTGGATGGCGGTGTGAACTGGGTCGACAAATCACAGTACAGCTCAACACACTCAGTACCAATGTCGAGTGGGGCCGGCTCACCTCGAAGCAGAGGCAATCGCCGAAAAGTAACGTACATACTGACTGACTGCCTTGTGAGGGATGATTAAACACATAAGAAACTTTAAAACACTCCATGAGGCCAATTTACCTCCTAGAAGGTGGTCCGTATAGTGAGACCGAGTTACCATGTTTCCAGCCACATAAAAGTTCCTCAAAGAAAAGCAAATCCCCTCAAGTGTCCATGATTTACTGGTACTGTTCGACTCCCGTCTTGTCTGTTTAAGGATGGAAGCGAAGTCCTTAGTCGGTGCTCGTCAAACTTATCAGCCTCAATCTGGGTGGAGCAAACCGTCCCAGTCAAGTGAAATGAGTTCACACTCGTGCCCATTTTCAAGAAAGTGACAACCGCAGAAGAGTTAGCTTGATCCCCATTGTGACCATACTACTTGCTATGATTGGGATAGACTGGAATCAGCGAATTCGTAACAAAGTGACGAAAGGTCAAGTGAAATGAGTTCACATAGTGCCCATTTTCAAGAAAGTGACAATCGCCGAAGAGTTAGCTTGATCCCCATTGTGACTACTTGCTATGATTGGGATAGACTGTAATCAGCGAATTCGTAACAAAGTGACGAAGAAACGAGTCTTTGGTGAGGTAGATGGTATTTCAGTCAACGACTGCATCCCGCACTACAAACTAATGTGATTGGGCCATGTGTTACGCATACCGAATTACGGGCTTCCAAGAACAGCGTTGTTTTGCGTGCCTAATTTGAAGTGGCACAAACCTACAGGTGGACAGAATACGACATGACAGAAGAGAGTGAATGAAGTTACGAAAAGTCTGGGTGCTGTTCACCTTCCAGGATGGGGCCCTCGTGACCCTTTCTATACCTGGATGGAAACAGTGAATCATACGGCCGCTGACTAATGCCCCTGGCACTTATGCTGTCACTTTCCATCTAGGTAATCTGACTGGTACATACGGGTAGGTAGGTTGACCCAAGTCCATCTTATTGTCCCATTTTTCTCCTTTCGAACAAATCGTTATGGATGTCAGACAGTGAAGCACAGGTGTTCTGCTCTGCAGTCATTATTAATGAAGGTCAAATGGTGGTTGACGTCCAGGTTAACAACAAGGAGAAAGAACATTAAAACAAGAAAACCAGATGTTCTTTTGTACACAACGAGGATTGAAGAAATCAATGAATGTCGCCATCGGATATGACCAAATTAGACTTATTTTCCCTAGCAGTAAGAGAGGAGTGTTGAATTACCTTCTCACGAAAGCAATCAAGTGACACTAGGTGGCCCCAACCTTAACAAGTGACATCCAATCAAGAAAGAACACAACCGAACAACAGAAGACCTTGAGAATTCTCACTTCAAAAGCAGTACAATAGTCCCGCCTACAAGTGAACGGCTTCGGGTGACAAATTCATCTCGTGTTGCAAACTGGTCCTATTTGGAGTTTGTGAGCTGAGTGTTTCCTCCAACTTCTTCACCCCTTATACCGAAGAAATCAACATTTCAAGGCTGAAAACATTTACTACACAGATGGTAATGTAACGCGCATCATGCCCGTGTGTGCAAATGAGTTGTGCGAACCAAAAGACATTCAGACAAATGAGTTTCCAAATGATATACCGTTCAATAAATTTCACGAACAAACCGCTTCCCCAATCCAATGTATACTGTTCAGTCCACTAAAATGAGCAATCGTAATAACTAAAAACACTTTGGGTCATTCATTAGCAGAGAATGTAACACAAATCCAGTTGAGCAGATAAGTAACACAACACGTGCTATGGATATTCTTCACGTCCTTAACTACTCTTGTGCTCAGTCACTGACTATTCGTCCCAACAGTTGGAGGAAGAAAAGAATTTTACGTAGTTGAGTCGAAAATCAGCGTGGATACTGTAACACCCGAGCATAAAAGTCATTCTTCTGATCCTAGGGACAAGTTCATTATTCTACTTCATCAGACGATAGTCGAAAAGTTGTCAGTGTATCCTAGCATTGCAGCTTCCTTCCCACTCTTTTTTACGTGTAACTTTTAAAGCACACGGTGTTGGTAGTGTTCTCAGGAGCTAATAATGCCCGTTACTCTCCGAGTAATACACTGGCGTGACAATAAGATTCTTCATGTTCTTGAACTTCACCGTATTCTACAAACTTGACATTAGTTTGCCCGGGAAATCATTTCCAAATGCTGACACTCGTCACCGAATCCGATCGTCCGCATCTTGTCTTCTGATATCAAGGATAGTCTATGAGCCATTATTCGCTTGATAGGCTGAAATGACTGACGCAAATGTGTGGTTGACCGTGCTCAAATAAACAATGAAACATAACTAGTCAGTCAACCAACAGTGAATAGTGTGACACAAGTGCATATCACCGGGTGCGGACTGGATTTTAATATGCACACAAGCTCTATTGCGAGGGATGAGGTCAAAGACCCTGTTGAAAGCCAAGCTTATCTCATCCGCTAGGCGCTTTCATGCTTGATTTCGGAATACTCCGGTGCCCGAATGAATTTCCCGGATGCAGCCGAGGAGCTTTACTTCCTATTCGGGAGGTTTTCTGTGCTGGACCGTCGTAACAAATACTGACTTATTTCAGGTCACGAGTATTGCCGCCATAACGAAAATAAAAACGACTTACCAGATAGCTTCTGAGGCTGTCCTGAAGCCCTGAAAATCAAGACAGAAGAGTCTTTGGCGTGTCTTACATACATCGTCGAATTCTATACACAGTCAAACTTTGCTAAGCCCTATAGGGTCTACGATTTTCTATAGATATCTTGCCTTAAAGTGTCGCAGTTTGTGTATGCCACGGGACGAGGTGGCTTAGTGGTCAGAGCGCGAATTTATTGACCGGAAGATCCCTGGTTCAAACCCGACCTCCGCCTCTCGACTGCCCCTGTCTAGGCTTGGGAAACCTGGCAGTATCCCAGCCCTTCTTTCTGGTGGCATGGCAGCTATGCGCCGGAAGGGTGCTAAAGCTGACGATTTGTGTATGCAACAGACTCCCACCCATACTTCTTCCAGAACAGGTTCCACTGAGCATTTATTTTGCCACAGTCTTATATGGCACTCATTCGCTTTGTGCATTTAAGTACTGAATTAAGATCTTTTCAGCCCCCAAATTTCGTGTTCCTCACGGAGCCGGATTGATTTATGGGATGAGCTAACTCAAGTGAGTATTTTCTGTTGACCGTCGCGATTGCTAAATAGGTAATTGATTCGCGTTTACAGTGCATCGTCCAAAAACGACAGTGGCATCTATCGTTATATAAACAAAACAAAACCAGGTTAATATGAATTCAAAATACGAAAGTAAAAAGCTGAATCTGGATTGTGCAAACGACATCTGTTTCATCTTCGAAGAGCAGTCTCACGTACTTTTGGATGAACTGACCAAAGTCATCTTTTGGTATGTACTTTGTACCCACAAATTGTAAGGTCATACTGCTGGACAAGCAGTCACCGAACATGCAACTTACGACTCAGATTGTAGTGTGATGGACGAGGTCAATGTACGAATCTGTAAGGCCAATGTTGTGTTATGGCGGTATATCCCTGAATCTCAAGGGATGTGTGTACAGTATAGGCTACAGTACGGACTGTTTTGTTGTGAGAACTGGCTTATTCCAGCAGCGGAACTAAGACGCCTTCACCTGTTCAACAACCGTTGTCTCAGAACCATAGCTCGTGCGTGTTGGTGTCGGCGAATCCGTAACCAGGCAATTATAAAGCGAGTTTTCTGTTGTGTAAGGGGGACTTCCATAGACGAACGCGTTCATCACCAGAATTCACGTTGGTTAGGCCATGTACTGTGTATGCCGATCCACCGTTGGCCAAAAATAGTGCTGTTTTCCTCACCCAAATCAGTGGCGGAGGCAGAGAGGTGGCCAATCCTTGACCTGACAGAAGGGTACGAAACAGATTACGAAAAGTCTGGGTGCTATCGGGGCGATTCGCCTTCCGTGAGGGGGACCGCGTGATCCCCATTGCGTCTGGTAGGACAGGCTGCATGATAGGGGGTGTTAACCGATGCCACCGAAACGTCAACTGATTAAATTCTAAAACTCACTCGGGCTGGTCGATCGCAGCTAAGTTTACCTCAGCGTGAACAACCCAGCTTATAGCATTGGTAAATGTTCGTTCACTCTAACCCCTTTATCCCCACAAGGTGTTGTTCAGTTATCCAAAAAGCTAATTAGGACAATAACGTACATGGTGCAGCTGGTTCCTCGTAGGCGCCTCTGCTACCGAGTATTTTCCAAACTTTTCTAAAAAGAATTGTGTTTGGCTACCGTCTCACTTGGTATATACTTTCGAAAAGTTAATAGCATGAAATACAGACTTTGGTTGTTGTGGGGGACCAGTGGAATCGGCCGAAGTGTGACCATTCCAAGGGGTCAACAGTCTGTGGCTTTATTGTGGGGCAACGTCTCTTTTTTGACAAAAAAGACTCTTCAGTACAAGTGGGTAGATTACTGGGTTGCCCAAGTTTCAGTTCATACGGAGAAACAGTCAATGAGAACTACTGACGAACACACGAAATCAGTCTCTTCAGAGTTCTTGTTGGTTGGTGTTACCGCTCGA